TATATATATATATATATAGGGAAGAGTTCAAACGAGAACCCTTGTGATTTACGAAAACGCGAGAACAACTCAATAACCACATATTGTGATAAAGATAAAATTAAAAGATTTTTAAAATTAAAAAAGATTCAAAAAAATTTAAAATTAAAAAGAGTAATAATGGAAATGATATATTATCTTAAAAACGGTTAAAATCTTATCATTAAACACGATCAAAATCTCTTTTAAACTTATCATTATCATCTAAACGGTTATGATTACAAAAGCTTAATCTTCAAATCGCAAGAACTACAGAGACGGCGACGGTATTGATCGGCCAAGAAAACGTAACCGCAATCGACCAAGAACCTAATCGAGAAGCCATTGCATGCAACAAGCCGACAAATTCAAGATATCTTTCAAAATTACTCGTTTTGAATAAGTTTTTAATCGATTAGTTGTGATATTCAAGTAATATCAAGACACAATTTGAGAATGTAAATGTTAGAGAACTGATAGCTAATGTTTTATCTGTCAAAATACTAGGTTAGGGCACTTTGATTTGGGTGTGATAATAATGTGATWTAKGTGTGATACTTATATGATAGGGGTGTGATAATCACCGGTATACATCACTTGGGTTAATGTTTGGGTTGACAAGTTAAATTCTTGGTGTAATCATTTAATTTAGTGTGATAATCATGTGATAGGGGTGTGATACGTATGTGATAGGGGTGTGATACTCACTGGTATACATCACTTGGGTTAAKATTTTGGTTGATAAGTTAAAATTTTGGTGTCATCATGTGATTTGGGTGTGATAATTACTGTTATACATCACGCTAACTCAATAACATTTCTTTTATTACCCATCGGTTCAAAACTGTGAAGTACAACTGCTTCAATCTACTCACATTATCGAATATTAATAACATGGACTGATTTCAATTAGTTCTCGCAACTCGAACCGCTAAGAGCTAAGAATTCCTACATAACAGAACTTGAAGTGTATGAACAAGACACAACTAGGGAATTAAAATGTTTGTGAACCTGATAGCTAATGTTTTATCTGTCAAGATATAAATCACTTTGGGTAACATTTTGGTTGATAAATTAAAATTTTGGTGTCATCATGTGACTTGGTTGTGATACTTATGTGATAGGGTGTGATAATAACCGGTATACATCACTTGGGTTAACGTTTTAGTTGATAAGTTAAAATTTTRATGTCACTGTTATACATTACTTCATATGATTGTAATTTTTTCTTTTGAGCGTTCAATAAGACTACAAGTGTTTATTTATGTTTAATAGAACATAATCATAGCATATAGAAAATGTAAATGAAACATTTTTCAAACAAAATATTAATTAATTAAAAAAAGGGTAATGGATTGGAAGAAACAAAAAAGAATGGTGAAAAAGAAGATCACATTGTTCAAGATATTTTAATACTAGATTTCTATTTAATAAGCAATAGCATAAAAGTATCACTAGATAACACATAATTATCATTATTTTATACATTGATGTGATCTTGATTTATATAC